ACTCACCTCAGCCTCCCAAAGGCGCGGGATTATAGGCTGAGCCACCGAGCCCGGCTGAGTAGTTCTTAAACATCTATTCCATAAGCATTTATTTCATGTTGTTATTTTGATAACTGAGACTAATGGAAAAAAGTTCAAGTTAGAACTGGAAACATTTTGTGCTATGAAAGACCTCATGTGGGTAGAACCATCCCTTCTTTTCAGTGACCTCATGTGGGTAGAACCATCCCTTCTTTTCAGTGACTAGAAAACTGACACTAACAAAATTCCAATGACCACAAGGCTGAGAAGCAGATCCAATCCAGACCTGATGACTGACTCAGGCCCCTCTGTTTCCCTATGTCAGGTAGAGATGTTCATTTCTTACATTGTTTTATGTGATAGACAACTTCACATATTTTCTAGCATAAACTACAGATTAAATGCTTTAGGCAAACCTACTTTATTAACAGTTTTTATTTTACATTAATCTATCTTTACTCAAAGAAAAGATCAGATTTGAAGTCTTTAGAAATAATTTATTCAAGATTAAGGTAACTATGCAGAGAGGCCCGTTATTAGAGGATTCACAGTGTTATTAGCAAACAAAATTTACAATGAACACTCAGGTGTTCCACTTACTGCTTTATCTCCCAGAGCTGTTCTGATACTAAGTCTCACTTTAAAAGCATTTTCTGCATCTGCCAGAGAGAAAAAAAGAACGTGCAGTAAATGATGATAAGATCAGCTGAAACAAAGCCTCATAAATCCTAAAATGTAATGCAACTCAAATCGACAAAACATAGAACTACAAACTGCCCCAAATACTCCTGAAGGTCAAAGTGAAATCATCTTAGGTTTAACATTTTCTTTCAAATGTATTAAATAGTCCCAGCTCCAACATTCAAGCTACAACACGTCTGCAGATTTAGAAAACTAAAGAGTTATTTCAATTAATGACTTGTCAATCATTTAGAAAACTGTTCATCTATTTTTAAGTTTCAACGCTACATACCTGGTTGACAAAGTTCAGCATGAATAGCAGTCACTAGAAAAAAGAGCAGCCACAACATTCTTTCAGAGTGGAAAACACAGGCAAACTGAGAAAAAAAATCCACCCTGCACTTAAAGCTGCCTTAGCCATTCTGTGACCCGGATTAGAATATCAGAGAAACAAGCGAGCCACCACCTAAAAGGTTTAATGATTAACACCCATCATTTGGGTTAATACTTCCATAAAAACAGCCCGTCTCCTGTCAGTTATTTATAAAAAAATCTGTTTGGAAAACAGATTAGCTGTTTTTTTGCAGACTTTGCCTCAAAAGAATGTTTCCTCTGCTGACTCAAAGTCAAAATCCTCCCCCACCCCTCCTGCAATTGTCTGGCTAAGTGCATGGTAAAAAGAATTAAGTCCTGTCTGTAGGTTTTCTTGGTAAGAACTTCCCCCCTTTCCAGGGCTAAAATACCTGTTTCATAGATAGGCTATCTTAATTTGGGAAACAAACGTGATTCCTTTCTATCTCTGGTAAACAAAACATGCCCTTCTGAGAACAGTTTCCCCTGAATCTCACCACAGCAGGTGAGCATCCCAGGAGAGCTTCCACTTCAAACAAAGGGAATGGATTTGTTCAGCCCTAAGGTCTGGCACTGGTGTAAAAACAACGTTCATTATATAGAGCAGCACTGTCCCACGAAACATTCTGTGATGATGGGAATGTTCTGTATCTGTGCTGTCCAATATGGCAGCCACTAGACATAAGTGGCTATTGAGCACTCCAAATGGGGCTAGTGCTGCTGAGAAACCGAATTTTTTGTTTCAATAGGTACATTGGTCAGGGCAGCAGTATAACAGTAATGAAGAACTCCCTGCTCTGAACTAGGTTCACTGGGTTATTTCTCTAATCCTCTAAACAACCCTTCACAGCTGTTGTTTTATGGTCATCTCACATGGGAGGGAACTGAGGCTCCAGTGTTGAAGTCACTGGCAGCAACGAGAGGAGTAGAATGGGTGTCATTTTGCCAGCTGACCTGCATTTGAACACTGTCTCTACCACACTGAACCGCTCTGCATCTCTGGTCCTCATGGGTCAAAACTAAAATTACAGGAAAACCTCAGAGGTGTCTGAGGAGTAAGATAATGAGTGTAAAGGAATCTTTTCCCTGGAAGGCATTCCACAGATGTCTCCCAGAGGGTCAGTGTTGGGGCTTTCCTCTCTACCATGGTGCCTCTTCATGGATTCAGTCACCAGATTCTGCCTTATTCCTTGAAAGTCATGAGTGGCAGAATTAGATTGGGTGACCCTGATGTTAAATAGAAACATTGGATTTTCAAAGCAACACTGAGGAAAATAACAACAATGACGCTTATGGAGCACTTTGAGAGATATATCATTTCCCTCTCCTAGTACAGGTGGTATTTTGTTTATAGAACCCCTTACTGTTAGCTGAATCCCCCAAGGAAGCATTTTCTCATCTTCTTCGCCTTGGTTGCAAGAATACTAAGTCAGGAAAAGCTGTACTACAGGGATAAGCAACCAAAAGTTTGCCCAGACATTCTAGCAGTTTCACTGTTAGGTGGGATGGAAATTTCCAGAAGGAAAATTAGCTCACTTAACTAATCCCTGAACAAAATGTCAGACTAGATGAAGTCACCTTGGGAAATGTTAGACTAGATAAAGTCATCATTGGAAGGAAAAGTCAATATACATAGAGATAGAGATTATAACAAAGCATTTCATTTGCATCAAGAAACAAAGTCATGTTAGGAACATAGAAATCTGAGTCAGCTTTCCTTTAGTCCTCTGTTTCATAAAAGTGACAAAAAGAAGATGACAATTTCTCCTCTTTTCAGTTATAATTTCTCAATATTTGTTGTCCCATTTAAAAAAACAATAAAAAAAGCAAAAGAAATTCTGTATAGGCAATATAGAGAAGCAAAAAGAGAAAAGTAGAAAATACCCCAAATACCACCAGCATAGATGACCAATGTTAATATATTTTAGTAGCTGGAATTCACCTTCCTTAGTCTTGAATCTTCTTGTATGTTCTTCTGTGATGTTGTTGGTTTGACTCATTGTACTGGTGCTATCAGAACAGAGTGATGTAATGTTGGGAATAGGAAGGACCCTCGTCTTCTTCCTCACTCTAATGGAAAGGCTGCTACTCCACAGAATCTGGTGAGTTGCTTTAAAAAGGGGTATCATGTGATAGACGTGTTCTTTTACTTCTAAATACTAAAATTTATTTTATCAGTAATTGATGTTACATTTTATCTACTGCCTTTTCAGTATCTATTGCTATGACCATAAAATCTTTACCACTTGATGCCTTATATTAATAAATTTATTTACCTTGATTCAGTCCTTAGATAAACCATTTTTAAATTCCTTTTTAGAATTTATTCCTAACATTTACTTAATTATTTAAACTTTTTTATTTTAAAATTTTATTTTTGGCATAGCTGCGGAGAAAAGGTAACACTTCTACACTGTTGGTGGGAATGTAAGCTAGTTTAACCTCTGTAGAAAGCAGTGTGGCAATTTCCCCAAGAACTAAAAATTGAGCTTCCGTACAATCCAGCAATCTGTCTTCTGGGAATATACTCAGAGGAACATAAATCACTCTACCAAAAAGACATCTGCACACATATGTTCATTGTAGCACTATTCACAATAGCAAAATATAGAACCAACCCAGATGCCATTGAAAGTGGACTGGATAAAGAAAATGTACATATACATGATGAAATATTATACAGCCATAAAGAAGAAGAAAATCATGGCCTTCATAGCAACATGCATGCAGCTAGAGAGATTATCATACTAAATGAACCATCACAGAAATAAAGAACGGAATACTGCATGTTCTCATTCATAAGCAGGCCCTGATCACCGGTCACATGAGCACAAGGGTGGGATCAGCAGACGCTGGACACTGCTGGGGTCAATGGCAGGGAAGTGGGATGTCATGACAACACACTGGGTACCAGGTCCACTATCAGGGAGAGAAAGGGCCAGCTAGAAGTCCAAACATCCTGTATGCAATTTACTTATATAGTAAATCCTCACTTGTACTGCACAATTCTAAATAAAAATAAATATAATAAAATGTATCTTTAGTCTGCTGCTGGAATTAATCACTTTTTTCCTCTAGGATTTATTTATTTTTTTTTTTTGAGTTGGGGATCTTACTCTGTCACCCAGGTTGGAGTGCATTGGCATGATCACGACTCACTGCAGCCTTGACCTCCTGGGCTCCGGTGATCCTGCGCCTGGCAGATTTTTTAATTTTGGTAGAGATGAGGTCTCACTATGTTGCCCAGGCTGGTCTCAAACTCCTGGGCTCAAGCAATTCTCTCGCCTCAACCTCCTGGGCTCAGGAGATCCTTTAACCTCAACCTCCCAAGTAGCTGGGACTACAGGCATGAGCCACCACACTTGGTTAATTTTTAAAATTGTTTTTAGTACCTTTCTATGAAACATGTCATTTATGGTATCTATTTGAAGTCAAATTATTGGCAGTGTCTCATATTTGTCATTTGAACTTTTGTCTTTTGACTCACATGACAAGACCTTAAAAAGTCTGTATTTTTAATAATTTCAATTTTGGTAGCTGTTTCTTTTGCTATTGTGAAATACTTTTCTAAGAAATTACTGGAACATGGAAAAATTAAAACTAATTATAATCTGTTTAGAAAATAAGAATGAGATCATCTATATGTCTTATGTACTTCTGCATGTGTTATGTCATGTAGCCAGAACAGTACTCCAAGGAAAATTCATAGCCATAGATATTGTCACTATTCACTGAGAAAGATTAAAATATAAATGAGCCGGCCGGGCTCGGTGGCTCAGCCTGTAATCCCAGCACTTTCGGAGGCCAAGGTAAGAGGATTGCCTGAGCCCGCGGGTTCAAGATCCACCCGGGCAACTTGGCGAGACCTCATCTCTGCAATAAATCAAAAATTAGCCAGGCGTGGTAGCGCGTGCCTGTAGTTCCAGCTACTTGAAAGGCTGAGGCGGAAGGATCGCCGGAGCCCAGCAGGTCGAGGCTGTGGTGGCCGGGAGCGTGCCACTGCACTCCAGTCTGGGCGACAGAGTGAGGCTCCGACTATAAATAAATAAATAAATAAATGAGCCTATTAGCCAACTCAAGAGTTATAAAATAAGAAAACATGACCACAGGAATAAGGACTTAATAAATTTAAATAAGATTGATGAATAAAAAAACAGATAAAATAGAATTATAAATTAGATTTGAGATCTTGTTCTTTGAGTAAACAACAAAAACATGCAAAACTCTGGCAAGTATAATGCAAAATGAGAAAAATTAATATAAATACTAGAAAATATAAAGAGAACATACAATAATGTAGCTATTTTGTGGGAAACATTCTAGAAAGACCATAATACTGGAAAATCTTAACACTTAGAAACACTAATAATGCATGATAGTGCCACTGTACTCCAGTGTTGGTGACAGAGTGAGACCCTGACTCAAAAAAAAAGAAGGTACTAAAAACAAAATCATTGCTAAATAGCTTGATAGAGATCTCAATAAAATAGATGGGAAACAAAACTAAATACTAGGGTTCTAGCCTCTTAACATGCTATCTTCATTATTTTTTTACACTTTCAAAACCTTATACAAATGGAGTGTTTGTCTTGATGTACAAGTTATAAGTAATAGACTTCCAGAGGACTCATATTTGTGTAAATTGCTTCATAAAACTGCTCTTTTCAGCAGTTTCACATATGAGAGCTTAATAACTTATTAGTAACCATGGTAATGACGACAAATAAAACAGTTTCAATCATTCTGAATATGTTACTATTTGCTTCCAAATGTTCAGAGTTTAGAGAGTGTAGATTAAAAGTTCAGATTACTGTTGCTATGAGCCACACAAAAGGGCACCAAGTCTCCTGAGACAGGAAAAAGAAATTGATTTCTCCATATTTTTTTATACTCCACAACACTATTGAGAAGCGGTTTCTGGGCACATAACTATTGATCTACTGCCTGGGGTAAATAAAATATGAGATCACAGGGGAAAAACGCATGTGTGTCATTCTTCTGATTCATGGAAGATGCCTTTTAAAGTTTGTCAGAGTCATAAAAGCATGTGGGGCTATGTAGACTCCACTTCTGTGCAATAAAGCAAGAGGTAGGGAGGGCTGATGTTCCATTTAAATTTGACCCTTATTATTATCCTTCATTATTAGAAACAGCAATTTAGTAAACATATAGCATCTATAATTAGTAAACTGTAAAACCACTTCAAATGTGGCATTACTTTGTATATTTTCATAGGCTGTTGGGAAACATA